TCTGCATATCTTGGCTATAGATTATTGGCTCATAAGATTATGGGGTATGATTAAAAATTTGTAACATTGGTAACAGAAAGTTGGTTTAAAACTGGTAACTCAGGGTTGGAGTCATTCTGAACAGCAATATGTGACATGAGCCAACCCAGGGAAACAGGTCTCTAAAGACATGTCTAAATTAGGTAATATTGTATGTATTATAAAGATTTATAAAAGATTTAGGGTAGTGTCTCTTTGAGGTATTGGAGGCTGTACTGTCTTTCGTTCGTGTGCAGGAATTGGCAGCCAAACTTTGTAGCATGGTGGTAATTCAGTTGGTGTTTTTAGAGACTGGATTGTTCTTTGGAGTTTTGCTTTCCAAAGTTATGGTTGTGCTCTGGTGTTACAAGGGAAACTCACTGTGGTTGAACTATCAGTGTTCCATTGGCAGCAGTTTGCAGTTAGATCACAGGTTTGGGATTTTAACTCACACATATTTGTAATTAAGAAAAAATTTGGCAGGTGGAGATTGTTGCACTGTTTTCTGCGAAGGGTTGATGAGGCTATGGAACTTGTGAGGGCATAGCAGCATGGCTTGCCTACTCTAGCTGCCATTCCAAGAAATGCATATAAAATTATTATATATTTGGAGAATTGTTTTTATACCGTTCCTTTACATTCTGGTGACTGTGGGAGGTTTGAATTTAATGAGTTTGCTTGTAATTTTGGAGAATCCATGAAGTGATCACTGGAAAGTTTTGCCTCAAGAAGTGGCTAATAGCCTTACATTATGTAAGAAATTTTGTTGCTGCTTCGGTACAAGAAGTTAGGAGTTTGAATCTTTCAGTATATATTATTCATTACATGGATATTTGTTAGCTGATCCCTCTGAAGGAGTTTTACTGCAAGCCTTTGCTCTCATACAACGAGCTTTAACATCTTGGGGAATGTTTGTTGCTCCAGAAAAGATTCAAAGGCAATGTCCTTTTCAATATTTGGGACCTCAGTTATATCCTAAGCAGATTGTGGCACAGAAAATTACAATAAGAAAAGATAGTTAGGGCTGGAGAGATGGCTCAGCAGCTAAAAGCACTGACTGCTGTTTTGGCAGTCCTGAATTCAATTCCCAGCAACCATATGGTGGCTTACAACCATCTGTAGTGGGATCTAGTGCCCTCTTCTGGCTTGCAGGGGTATATGCAAAAAAAGAGATAGTTTGATTTTAATGATTTTCAGAAGTTGTTAGGAGATATTGATTGGCTAAGACCTCATCTTAAGCTTACTACAGGAGAACTTAAACCTCTGTTTGATACTCTCAAGGGGATCCAAATCCTTATTCCCCTCAACAATTAACTGTTGAGGAATGGATAGCTTTGCAGAAGGTGGAGGAAGCTATTAGCCAACAGCAGATACATTATGTACACTATGATCAATTGTTGGCTGCTTGCATCCTTGCTACAACTCAGGGACCATTAATGTGGATTCATCTTTCTTCATCTCCAAGTAAAGTTTTAACACCCTATTATGAAGCTGTAGCTTTGTTAATACATAATTGTAGAATAGAATCAAGAAAATATTTTGGGGAAAACCTGATGAAATACTTATTCCTTATTCCAAACAGCAGTTAAACTTGTTGTTGCAGAGTACTGACATTTGGCCTATTGCCTGTGCAAACTTTTCAGGCAAAATTGATAACCATTTTCCAAAAGATAAGTTGTTACAGTTTTCCTCTACGCATGCTTTTGTATTTCCTATAAATTTATGCATGCAGCCCATAGAAAATGCGCTTACTGTGTTTACAGATGGCTCATCTAATGGGGAGGCAGCATATGTGATTGAATCACATGTTCACTCTCTTGAGTTTCTCCCTGCTTCAGCACAAATAACTGAATTACGTGCTGTAGCTGCTGTTTTGGAAATGCTGAAAAACTAAGCTTTTAATTTGTATACTGATAGCCAATATAGAGCTCATGGCTTACAATTACTTGAAACTGTTCATTTATTAGATATTGCTAATTCTCTATTTGCAATTATTTATGCAAATACAACTCAATTTAAGAGAACATACTGTTCCTTAACATTGTAGGACATTTAAAAGCTCATACTGGACTGCCTGGACCCCTTAGTGAGGGCAATGCCACAGCAGATTTGTATACCAGGGAGGTTATAGGCCTGACACAGGAACAGTTACCAAAACAATCTCATTCTTTACATCATCAAAATAGTAACAGCTTGAGACAACAATTTAGTATTTCTAGAGAATGGGCATGTCAAATTATAAAGACATGTCCTGAATACCCTCAGTTTCTTCCTGTACCACGTAATGGTGTTAATCCTTGAGGACTCATACCTAATCAATTATGACAAATGGATGTTACTCATTAATTCTGACTTTGGAAAATTAAAATATGTACATGTGACTACTGACACCTTTTCAGGCTTTCTAGTTGCAACTGCTTTAACAGGAGAAGCAACTAAAAACGTAATTAGTCATTGTCTGCATTGTTTTTCTATACTGGGTGTTCCCAAACAGATTAAAACAGATAATAGAACTGGCTATTACAGGCAAACATTTGAGATGTTTTGTGAACAATTTAATATTACCCATACTACTGGGATTCCTTTTAATCAAGGGCAAGGTATTAAGAAACAGGTATTGTGGAACTTTAAAACAATATCTTCATAAAATAAAAAAATAGGAGGAGTTAAGTCTCTTACACCACAAACTTTTCAATCATGTTCTTTTTATTTTAAAAATTTTAAAATTTGGATGCCAAAGAACTCACTGCTGGGTGTCTATGGTATCCTACAACTAGGCATACTTATGCCTAGGTGAAATGGAAGGATCCATTTACAGGCATATGGCATGACACAGATCAGGTGTTAAATATGGGGAAAAGGGAATGTTTGTGTTTCTTCTGCAGGATGCTGCAGGAGCATGGGGGCTGCCAGAGAAAACAGTGAGACATGCTGATGCTGGGACAAAGAATGATGCTGACCTGTGAGCTTTCAGAGTGTTCTGTACAATGGTGACTGGGAAACTATATTGGACATATTTTCCTGACCCACCTTTGCTTGCCTATATCCCAGATTGGACAAGCTGCCTAGCTTCAAGCTTTTAGACCTTGTGGGACAGAGAATCAAAAGGAGAAGTTATAATGACCCTTCTACTTCCTTTAATGTGACCAGTTATTCTGACTCATTCATGGACTGGTCTAGAAATGAATTCAATATTAGAAATAACAGTCTTCATTTGGAAGGCTGGTTCTGGACATTTTCAGTGACATATTTGGAAGTTAGCTGTAGTTCTCTATGATGATAGCAAGAGATAAAGTTGGGACAGGGTCTGGATTTCAAACAAGTGTTAATGCATGTGTTAAGGCTCCTTTAATTGTCATGTTAAAATTACTTTTGTTTCTTCTACAATATTCAATGTAAGTTGTGTTGATTGTTCACTTTCTAATTGTGTTAGTGTATTGAAAACTGTCATGTCTTCTATGGTGGTCTATCAACCAGCTTGTTTTATTGCCTGTGAGTATTACAGAATCTTGGTATTCTGGAAAAAGCTTGCAATTACTAGAAGAAATGGGTCAGGGTTTAAGCAGAAGCAAGAGGGTAGTGGCCTTGATTATTGTTGGCATAGCAGCTTTGATTACATTAATAGCTAGCACCACTCCTTCTGCAATTGCTTTGGCACAGAAGTTTAGACAGCTATGTTTGTTAATCATTTAGCAAAAATATGTTACTAATATTCTGAGTATTCAAGAGGATTTAGACAGACATTTGGAATAATGATACTATGATACTATTCAAATTATGATACTATTCAAATTATTGAAGAGGAGGTTCAGGGTTTAAATGTAAGGAGCCATCTCACGTGTCATGGCAAATACCAATGGATTTGTGTTACCTCTAAAATTTACAATGGCAGCCACTATAATTGGGAAAAGGTACAAAGACAATTGCAGGGTATTTGGCATAATTCTAATACCTCTCTGGATGTTTTACCTTTGCACACTGAGATTATGAATTTAAAGAATGCTGTTCCACTGAGCTATGATCCAGCAGATACTGCTGATAAAATTTATTCATAGCCTGATGTCAGTATTTCCATCCTTGTCAAGCTTCAAGAATGGCATATATAGTTTGATCATACTAGCTCTTTTTGTCCTGGGAATACTTTTATTCCTGCCCATCATGTTAAAGCTTTTCTTTAACAATATCAACATGTGGGCAGCCAAAGTACATGGCTTGAAACTAAAAGTGGACCCCCAGATTTAACAGGCTGGCAAGCCAAGGATGGGCAACCTTCTGCAGTGCCTTACCAACCTAAGACAGAAATGCATTGCTTTTGAAAATGCATATTGATGACAGGTAAGGGGGCATTCTTGTCAGAATGACCTAAGACAGGCTCAGTCTTTTTAAATAAAATAAAGGGGGAAAATGTGGAGAACTTTTGGGGCTTTAGGCAGGAATCTGACATGGGGCTATGACAAGGAAGTAAGTTCAGGCAAGAATCTAATTTTAGGCTAAAACAGAGAAGTAATTTCAGTCAGGAGTCTACGTCTTAGGCTAGAACAAAGAAGTAGGCTTCAGGCATGAATATGACTGTGGGCTAGGACAGGGAAGTAGGCTCCAATATTTTTGTCATCCTGATGAGCCCTTAGAAACAGTGATCATGACAGTGATCACAGGAGTGATCGCAGGACTTTGCTTATTGCCTTGCTTGTTCCTTGACTATTTGTATCTATTGTATTGCTAGTTCCTAAACCTAGAACTGACTTAATACTTCCATGTAATTAAAATGGTTTAAAAGAAAATTGAGAAAAAATAAACCCGCCTCAGCCTTCAGCCTCAGAACTGGCTGGGGTCATGCTGCAATATTGTTTAATCATCTTTTTTCTTTTTAATCCTCACTCCTGTGCTGCAGAACCTGTTGACTGATTGAGTGGGCTTGGTCAAAGAAGCTGCACGATGCTGATGCTGGAACTTTCCAAGATCAAGCAAGAATTGTAACCTACCAAAAATACCACAGCCTCTGTATGGAGAGGGCCCGTACACAGCACCGGGAGCCACAGCAATCTTCATAGGACCGGCATCTGCAGGAGAGAGAGAGCACAATTTTAGGTTAAAAGGGGTAGATTTTCTCACCATGGGGTTCCATTCAGAATCACTATAAGCATAAACATTCTTAGAAAGGAAAATCAAAATGGATTCCTTCTGGTGAGGCTCCAGGACCAGAAAAAGCATCAAATCTACCAGATCCATGCTCCAAGAAAGCTATGCAACAGATAAATAATAGGGAGGATGTGTTCTACGCTGACTTTTATCTAGGATCATGAGAAAGATGGACCTACCTCCATATGCCTCACAAGTTAAAAGCACAGGTTACAGAGTGTAGTTAACTGAGGAGGTCCGGGCACTTACTAGCTATGTGATTTCTGTTACTAAACTCTATCAGCCTCAGCTTCTTTAATAGCAAAATAGAATGATGGGAACCTTTCAAATGACTGTAGGACCTCATCTTCACATAAAGACTATATCTGCTCAGGCTCCCTCATCCCTCAGATCTCTACATACCCAAGGCTTCTGGCGGGACCCAGACTCCTAAGACATGTTCAAGGGCTATTCTAATGCCAAAGAACCACTTAAGAAAGTCCCTAACTGGAGATGAGACCTAGTGTAGGCCTGGGATGACTCATAAAGCTTCTTCAGTATTTCATCTCCTCAATCATGTCAGCACTCTTGTGTAACGAATGTTACAAAGAATATCTTCCTTTATAAGCATATATGTATGGGGGGAGAGAGGAACACGTAAGAGAGATATTGGACTCTTGCTGTTAGGGTGGGTAGAAATCAGACAACTATAAACTAAAGAGAAAGATCTGGTTCTCACCATGGCTTGCAAAATGAACATTCTTCAAAACTATGTTAGACTCATAATATAAATGCTAAGTGTCTACTTGCCTCTCCCTCCAGTGCAGAGGGTCCTATACACAAAATGAGATGTCCACTCACAAGACTATACAATTAACATTGTATGGAATATAAGACCTTGCCAGAGCAGACTGGATATTTTCCTATTGAGTTTGAAGAAGAGTCACAAGTATGGGAAAGCCATGTGGGATGAAGGTGAGCTCTAGACTCTGTAAACGATCTCAGATAAATTGTAGTCATAAAACCATAAGGGCCTGAAAGCTGCTCATGCCCAAACAGAACCAGAAGGACTCCAAGTGTTAGATGAGAGTTCAACTGAACCAGTCTCTTTACTTCAGCCTTGTGAGACCGTGAGCAGAGAAACTACTTTTGCTGGGCTCACACTTAGCATCTACAGAGACTGAGGTAATACAAGCATGGTGTTTCAACTAGAAAGCTTGGAGTAGCTTGTTACAAAACAACAGAATAGATAAGAGCAAGGGTTATAGGATATATTCACTTCTTACAGACACCTATTTAAGTGGTTTGGCAAAGTCTAGTAACCATACGTAAGATGCAAACAACCAAAAAAATAAGACTTAAGGGCTACTGTAGCACCTCTTTGCTCTGGTTACTGTATGCTGATAGCAAGAGCAAATTTGGCTAGCATGATGCCTAATCTTGATTGCTAACCTGATGGGACTTGAAGGCAAACATCCAAATTTGCCTGTTTTTGAGGACATTTCCAGAGATGTTTAACAGAAGCAGGGAGACCCATCTTTAACATGAGTGATACACTTCATGTGATGGTTTGTATATGCTTGGCCTAGGGAGTGACACTATTTGGAGGTGTGGCCTTGTTGGAGAAGGTGTGTCACTGTGGGATGTGGGCTTTAAGACCCTCATCCTAGCTGCCTGGAAGACAGTATTCTACTAGCAGCCTTCAGACAAAGATGTAGAACTCTCAGCTCTGCTGCACCATGCCTGCCTGGATGCTGCCATGCTCTCACCTTGATGATAATGGACTGAACCTCTGAACCTGTAAGCCATCCCCAATTAAATGTTGTCCTTTGTAAGACTTGCCTTGGTCATCCTGCTAAGACACTTCATGGGCTGTGGTCTCACACCATCCCAGAAAGCAAAAGTGAGCACAGTACCCAAATCCACTGCCCTCTGCTTCCTGATGCCAGTGCACTGTGACCAGCTGCCGGGGGTTCCTACTGTCACAGCTCCAGCCATGCTCACTGCCGTCACTTCTCACTAGGCTAGACTGTAGTAAGGCAAAATGAACCCTTCCTTACTTAAGTACTTTTGCCATGTACTTTTTTCACAACAAGAAAAGTAGCCAGGAAGTCAGTAGGTTTCTGGAACATTACCAGTTGAACCAAACACTAATGACAGCCCACCTTCTCTGTTCTTGATTTCCCTTTTCATTCTCAGCCCTGCTGCTTGGGAAACTGAAAGGATAACATCATAACCCTTATGCAAATGGCAGGAAGCCCCTAAGCTGAGCCATAGACAGGAGTCAGCAACACCTCTAATACCAGCTGCAGGGGTTCCCAATTCAACTTGGAACTTTGCATTCCCTAGAAAGAGTCCCAGAAAAGACTGAAGCATTTATGTGAAGAGCTTGCTATAGTTAGTAAGTACCAATCATTAAAGGTCTGAAGTAATATGATGACTAACAGGTTACACAAGGTACAGCATGGGGTTGGTTTGAGATGAACTGGCAATGCACTTACAGCATTTTACAATCTCTAGGGGTGATAACTAATACTATCAAGGTTAAAATTGATTTGAAAAGGTCATGTGGCTTCTTTTGTAAGAAATGTTTTTTGGAACAGATTTTTGTCATATGTAAATATGTGTACAATAGGCTGTACCATAAAGCATATTTTTCAGAGCTACTGTTGGGAAAGTCCCAAACAAACAAAACCTGTGTCTAAAATTGGCTTCTGTCATCCCCCTAGGAAGGTTGGGGTTTTTTGTTGTTGTTTTTGTTTCTTTTTGTTTTGTTTTTGTTTTTCTGTTTTACTTGTTTCTATGCAATATTAAATATTTTAACTTGACATCCTGGACCTGTTTAGACAACGCTACCAATTATAATTCTTCCCTTCCTTGGGAGACTATTCCCAAGTTGGGTACAATCTTGACTTCCCAATCCCAATTCTTGCCCATTTCCCCACGCCTCATTACTATTTTTTTTTAACCAACTTCAACACAAGAAAATGGTGAAGAAACTGTCAACTTCTCAATGCAAAGACCACAACTCTCATCTTATAGGAAATATGACATAGTTTATTCTGGAGTCATTCTGACTGACCATGGCCAGGAACACAGATTTAAACTACCCTAAATTCTGTATTTGAACATGGAAGCAGTTTTGTAAAATTTTATAGTTTTACAGAATAAAGTCATAAATCCTGACAATTTAAAAACATATTGGTGAGTCCATCAGAGAAGTGATTATGGCAAGACTGGGGGAAGCTTTCTGTGGGTCTGAGATGCCATATGATGACATTCTTAGCTTCGGGGTTGGTGGAAACTAGCAGTCTGTTAATAGATTGGAAAAGATGCTCATCCATTAGCTACAGGATGTTAATTCTGATGCAGTGGTGGGTAAGAAGGTCACACGGCTCTGGGCCTGCCACATTCCAATCTCTTAGAGTGCTGTAGTTCTAATCAGTCACCACTGCAGACACAGCTTCTCTTCAGGAGTGTTCATTCACAACACAACACTCAGGTTCACCTCAGTAAGCTCTGCCTTCTCATCCTGGACTGGCCCAGTAAAGCCTGAGGATGTAAATACTTTATAACTACCTCAAACAATGTCAACTTACAAAATCTAGCCTTTATTTTACCCTATTTTGGGATCCACATTCTGTCACTCAAGGACTTTATTATTTCTTCAGATTTTGATACTTAACTGATGACAATGAGATACATTCGTTGGGACCCAGGAATTCAAATTATTGTGTAACTGATTTTCTTCCTCCTTCCTGTGACTCAATGGCAGCTTCCTTAGCACTACTGCAATGTCCCATAATTCCACAGTCAGACTGGGTCTGAAAACATAGCAAGTCTTCCTGAGATCTCAAGCTGGATTCCAAAAGCTGTACCTTCTTAAAGTCTAGGAGAGTGTCTGGCAAAGCAAAGGAAACTACTAGAGGGTACAGAGTGACTCTGGTGTCAGGTTAGCTGATAAAGCATCACAAAGGAGAAGAGATAGGAGCTCTGACAGCAGAAGACAAGGCAAGAAGACAGGAAGAAAGGCATCATGCATAGCTCACAACTAGATGTAGATCAGGTTTCATACTTTAATAAAATAATCAGGAAAACAAACTTCATTAGTATATGAATAGCATTCAAAAATCTGGATCATCAAGGAAGGAAGAGAAAACAGAGTTCTTCCACCTACATCTTGTAACTGATTGTCACAGTATGACTTCCATATTTTTACTCAAATCAATAATAAAATGATGATGGAGTCAAAGGTGAATTCTACTATAGACTGAGATTTTACTAACCACAATTTTACAGGTAGGGTTATTTGCACACCAGTCACAAACCCACTATAACTGGTCTATCAGTGATCTCAACTGAGACACTACCAAATATCATCATGACATGTTATGTCATGTCATGGACATCCTGGTCTCAGTCTTACTGAAGAAAATAAGTGCAATATAGCAGGACATCAGAGGAAGGGTTCCAAATATCACAAACATTTGTCTAATAATCTATTGAAGGAACACAGAGGTTCCTGGCATTCTAGTGACTGTGACAATCTTTTGCACGTCCCCTTCCACAATTCTCAGTTTTGTGAGCTGCTTGCTTCCGAAGCCTACAGGTGTCTAGGGTCTGCCTCTTTTCTCTAAAGCAAGGTCATCTGTGATCAATGTGACATTTCTCCACCACATCTCTCCAACAGTGTTCCTTTAGAGAAGACCACCAATGTGTTAGACACACACACCCTTTCCAAAGTCTGCCATCAATCTCCAAATTGGTCTTCCCATAGCAACCTCTTTCATGTATGATATAACTTATATACAGCCTCCTTGTAGCACAGTCTGAAGGACTGCATCTCCAGACTTTCTTTTAGAGGATTTTCATACCCTAGAAAAGTTCCTTTTTAACGAGGTAGCAGTAAGTCCCACCCATGCAGAACCCTTTACTTGTGGGT